AATCTGTAAAATAAAAATCAAGCTGTGGTATTAGCCTATTTTGTTATCTATCACATGAGATTCTTTCAAAAGTCAGTGCTCTTGTATAATCTCTCAGTCCTTTATTTCTTCATTAATCCACATATATCTCAGCTTTTTTCTAGGCACTATAATATCTCAAAACAGCTGGGGCATTGTTTCTTCCCAAAGCACTAGTTGCAATGGACAGGAAGGCAGACATATGATGGGGGAAGTCCTTCTGTATATATGGTTCTCTTATTGGCTGATGAACTAAACACTGGCCAATAAGACAGGAAGACAGGTGAAACTAGGATGAGAAAAATTCTGAGAAAGGTAGACTGAGAGGGCCCACTAGAAGAGTCACCATGTAGGCCACCAAAGGAGTAACAAGTTCAGACCCTTTTCCAGTAAGATAAGACTACATGAAAACTCTTCGATTAATAGAAATGGGTTAAAATTAAGATAGAGCTAGCCAGTAAGAAGCCCTAGTCATCGGCCAACAGGTTAATAATTAATTTAAGTCTTTGTGTGCTCATTTGGGTCTAGAAGAAGCAATGGGACCAGGTTGGGACTTTTGAAAGATTCTCATGTTGATAGATAACAAAAGAGAACCACCGCAACATACCGACATTCAGAAGATGAATTCAGGTATTGAATAGATCCATAATGGGAACAAGGTTTGAATGAGAAAAGGGGGCTTGTGAATTGACCCATTGTTTAAAAGCACTTATTGCTTTTCCAGAGGACCTGGGTTCTGTTCCCATACCTATTTGAAGAGGAATCACAGACTCCCCTACCTACAACTCCAGGGGATTCCACACAATCCCTTGGTTCCCAATAGTCAACTGGACATCTCCTTCTGAGTCTCAGCACAAATTCCCAAGATGCATTGTTGACCAGGCCATTAAACAATGGTTCTCATGGGCTTATGAGATTCAAACAGAACAGGCAGTGTCTCCAGGGGAGAAACAGAGGGCGTTGATCTTCTTGATGACTGCATGCCTCAGGGATTAAGTCTATCAAATTCTCTTCTGCAGGCAAGTAGTAACAGATGGTGCTGATCCATACAGCTATCCTGTCCTAGTGTCAGGGTCTTGCTCATGTTTGAGTCTATCTTATTCCCATGGCAACATTCCTTCACCATGTATGCTATCATTGTGAAACTGAGACACAGGAACCCTAGTGAATGCATCTGTCTCACACAGCCATGTGTGACAGACAAGTTGTCTTTGTTCAACCATGTCTACACTGTCTTCACGCTGGAGGCCTTTTGTGGTTTCTGGAGGGAGAGGAGCTATGTTTTTAGAGAGGTTAATCTTGGATATTGGCAACTTGAAGGGATGTCTGTTGCACAAAGTGAAGAAAATGGACAATTAGAGTTGAGTCTAGAACCTAAACTATCTGCCTCAGGAGAATTTGTACAAAATTCCAGGACACTGCATCCCAGCTGCTGGACAGGAAATCATGTGTTTTCTGGAATGTTGCTGCCACAACTCCCGAAAGGCAAAGGATCCTACATCTAACAGAGAACTCTCTCTGTCCAGAAAGATACTATTTCACAGAACTTGAGCATTGGTCTTTCATCATACCTCATTGTACTCCTTAGACAAATAACCCTTTCAGGCATCAGTCTTATATCTGGATTGTTAGTAACAATGGTCTCATATGTAACATGTTATAGTCCAAAATCAAGAACTTAGTTCTGCCAAACACACTTCTACTTTATATCAATAATTTTTGCCTCAGAAAACATTCATCTGGGAGTGCAGAAGAGATGGCTCAGGGTTTAAGAGCCATAAATTCTCTTTAGAGGACTGGGGTATTGTTACAAAGACACACATGGCAGCCCATAAGCATGTGTAATTCCATTTCCAAGGGCCCATTTAGCCTTCTGTGGGCATCAGGCATACTTGTGGTTCACAGATACACTTTAAGGAAAAAGAACCATACACATGGAAAGAAAGAGTGAAAGAATGAAAGGATGGATGGGAAAAAGAAACAAAGAAAGGAACAGGGAAAGAAAGCAGCAAGTTATATTTCAGGAACTATGACTTCATCTTCCTTATCTGTGCAAGATAGAGCATTACAGGCAAAGACATTGGGTTTGCTTCAAGCTCAACTGTACCCCTAATTATTTCCTTTCCAAGATCACTCTGAGACTCATTTATCTTTTGGGGACATGTACATCATTTCAGTTACCATCAAACACCTATGAAGAAGGAGCCATGTTTTGGACCAGCTCTGGACAGATCTTTCTGTTCCACCAGATCCCACAGATGTTTAGTCCCAAATAAACACACAGAGGCTTATATTAAGTATAAACTGTTTGGTTAATGGCTCAGGCTTCTTATTGGCTACCTCTCTCTTAATCATTAACCCATTTATATTAAGCTATTTCTCCCTCCCAACGCAGGAGAACCACCATCTATGATTACTCAAGTCCTCCTGCATCTGCCTGTGATTTACCTTCTGTCTGATTATATAAGGACACAGATTTACGATGGATGCTAGAAAGATCCACAGTGGTTAAAAGAGGCCTTTTCAAGGGTAATAAGTCATATAGCAGGTCATCTTCTCTCTATTGTCTGAACAACAGTGCTACTAAGTGATGATGCTAACCCCATGGATGACGCCATTAAAGCATGTATATGAATTTCAGAATACAATCTACCTGGGGAGGAGAAATGGTCAAAGCCTCACTGAGAATGTAACAGGCTGAAACTCTCAGAGGGCAAGTGGACTCTTACTTATTCAGCACCACAACAGACACAGAACCCTATGAGTGTGTAATCTGGAAACAAGTGACCGACACTCAAAGGGACCTATTCAACCTGAATTTAATTGTGAGAGATTTCTGTCTCTTCATCACTATAACTACGTACATAATGAGACCCTTTCCTGGGACACTCAGCCACTCTTGGGTGTTAATGAGGACCAACAGCACAGATACTTATGCTGGCCAGTGAATCCTGCTCTGGACATGAGGTTTCAGTTCTCCCAGTGATCTCCAGTAGTTGATAGCAGGGCTCATGCTCAATCCTCAGAAAATCATTTCCATGAAAAGAATGCTTTTCCTTTTTGTCCCTACTAACATTTAACTCCGTTCCTAGAATATGCTTTGATCTACTACTTGCTCCTTCTTTTGTCTATGAACACCTTTCTGCTTGGGGACCATGAAGGTCTCCTTGTTCTTAGTATTTGTCAAATGGAAATACAAGATTACCAAGAGGGAATCCTTTCTGAAATGTCAAAGATGACCCAGGAAATCTGAGAGGATATAGGCACACCCACCACAAAATTGTAGACTGTTGCTTTGAAAGCCTCCATGGGAAGAGAAATCACATGGCCATTTTAAGGACAAACAGATCACCTCTTCTCCATCCTTGGGCACATGAAACTCCTCACATAACTGTTCCTGGTCCTCTCTCCTGGATCATTAATTGATGGTGACATTAGTGATAAAGGACTGATCTTCATCCATAGTCATCACTCAGCTAGTCTATGCATAGCCCACAGAGACATTATTGTCACATTCCTGCAGGGGTTAAGTAAATACTAAATTCCCATAACATTGAGATCATATGGTAGACTGGATGCTCAGCTGGGCTGAGCAAGGCAAGGACACAGAGGGTGTC